AATTGTTTCCTTTATTTCTAATAGAAGAACAGGTGTATTTTAGCACTTGGGTCTGTCAAATGCCTTCAAAAATAAAGTGTGCCATATATATATATATGGGGGATGCTTTTTAAGTACGCAGCTCTGTACTGAACTTTGATATATGGTAAGTGTGAATAAAAACCGCATTAATCAAGGTTTTAGTGCTATGCATTTTTTTTTAGGAGAAAACTGAACTGAAGTCAGTGGGGACTATTGGGTAAAACATGTATATATAAGATTAGATTTCATGGCTGTTGTCATTGGCACCTTTATTACTAGTTTGATCCTCAACATGATCCTCTACTTCAGGGTAGACAGTTGTGGAATGGTAAGGTCTGTGTTAGCCAGGAGATCTGGAAAGGTTGCAGTCCCCAGTAACACCTGCTGCTGCAAAAACAAAAAATATAAATAATCAAATATTTGCCTCCAAATGCCTTCTAGGGAAATAAGAGGGACACTCTCACCATGTTTTGGACCTTCCTGGGCCATTTTAGGACCAGGAGAGGCCATTTTTAATAACAGGAAGTGAGTAGAAATAACACTCCCTGATTTAAAAAAAGATTTCTCTTGGGGTCAGGGTGTTCCCAAAATATGGTGAAAATGCCCCCTCTCTCCCCAAAGGGCATTTTGGGCATGATTTTAAAAACTATATTTGCAAAACAAAACAAAAAAATTTAAAAAATTGTTTGCCCCCTGGAGGGGCGTATGGCCTATGTACTTGACCATGGTTTGGCTCCTAAGGGCCAAAAAGATGCAGGCAACACTTTGTCCACCCTTGCTCTACTTAAAAATACATTCCATTGAATTCGTTTAATAAATTTTAATTTTTCCTCCATTTCTTCCATTGTTATTATGGAGATTTGTTTCTGTAAGCTTTTTATCTCTTTTGTTTTTCTTTATCAGTAGGAGTTACTTTCAAAAGGTTTTCTCTTTTTTTAAATTTCCATTTCTAATTTTTTTTATATTCTCATATTTCTTCTCTCTTCACTCAAAGTTTTTTTTAATAAAGAACCCTCTCATAAAAGCTTTTACAGTATCCCATACTACATGTGGTCCTGTTCCTTTATTTAAATTATCTGCGAAGAAATAATTTAATTCATTTTTTGCTTCTTCCACTATTTTTTCATTATGAAATAGATATTCATTTAATTGACATCTATATGATTTTTTACTCTTAAAGATTGTCATTGATACCGGGCTATGATCCGACCAAACCATGGGCAGTGTCTCTATTTTTTCCACCCATTTTAGCATTTGTGGTGAAGCAAAGTTCATATCAAGTTTTGCCCATGATCAGTGCACATTTGAAAAAAAAAAGTGAGGTCTTTACTCTCTCCATATTTCTCCCTCCAAACTTCTTTTAACCCAAGCCTTTCTATCATTTCAAAAAAACTATCTGGTAGTTTGCCTTGATTTTCTCTAAAAAAATTTTGTTGAAGATCTGTCTATTGTGGAGTTTATCACCCCATTCCAATCACCCATGATTATTATCGTGTCGTAATTTACATCTTCTAGCTTTTGTAGGATTTCCTTATAAAATTGTTTGGGGTTTTTTGTTGGAGGCTGCATAAATTCCCATCAGAAGTATTTTCCCTATTGTACAAATTAATTCTATTGCTACATATCTTCCATTTGGGTCATTCAATAACTCTTTTGTTTCAAATTTAGAATTTACATATATAACTACCCATCTTTTCCTTTTATCTTTTGTTGTTGATATAAATTCCATGCCTAATTTCAAATTATTTAGATATCTCCTGTCTTTTTCTTTTATATGAGTTTCCTGGGGGCAAATTGCATCTAGGTTTTTTTTTCCTGTAAATCGTGGAATATCCTTTTTCTTTTTTGTGGCGAGTTGAGGCCTTTTACATTCTATGTCAAAAAATTTGATTTTATTGAACATCAATCAGTTCTTCCAAATCTAACCTACCCGTCTCTTTTCTCATTCCACACCACAGGTCTATTTTGTTAATCTGCAAGTCCTATTCTTAGAATTCATTTAATTAATCCATATGAAATTTACTTTGTAGTTCAAAATTATTTATGCATCTATATGGTTTCTTGCTGGAGATTATCCAAGAATCAGATCAGAGTTGTTACTCATTTGATAGAGAGTCACAAATAATTAAAATTCATGGTGTCCGGGTCATCCATGGATGAAACAACAATGCTGGGAATAGACGCCTCCTCGGTCACCTCTGATTCCCTTATGTCTCACCTCTGAATCCAATGGCATCCAGGGCTCCGACTTAGAGAATTCAGGAACAGACCCACAGATCGGCTTCTAGTATTCTCCGTACCCAGGAATCCCTCTTGGTACATTGATGTTGACTTTCCTTTGCCCAGAATACCTCAGCGTTTCAAGATTCCCCAAGCAATTCCTTTGGGGACATCTTAATCAGATGCCATTACCAACCAGAAGTCCCACATTCCATTGAATTCAATAGGAAAGCTGCTAAATAAGACTATTAAAAAACCCTCTCTATATGAACCTGTCCATGATCTAAGATCTACAGGGGAAGGTCTCACAACTGTCCCAGGAATGTCTAGTGAGGACAAGGGAGAGAGCCTTCTTGGTGGACACTTCCAAGGACCTTATCACACGCGGGGCTCAAAGCGGCAAGAAAGTGATATAAGAATCAATCCAGAACTATACTGGTAGAAACCCCACAATACGGAAATGGCTATCAGACGCAACCAGCATCATTGCGCAATTAACGAAAACGCGATGGAAGCGCTCCTGGGAACCGTATTTGCCATTCACACACAAGTGAGAAGATCCATCCAGAACCCAGCAAGGATGTTCTTGCACATGCTCCACAATATGTATTTGGTGATCAGACATACGGCGAAAGCGCAATGATTGCGCTATCATTCCGGTCGCGCAATTGCAATTCCCCAAGAAACCGGCATTCAAAAGAATGGGGATGATGCCGCATTGGGACGGGGTTGTGACGGGGTTCTGTGCGATGTCATGTGAACACACGGAAAAATAAAGCGCAATAGGACGGGATTTAGTGTGGATTCTGTCTGCTTTAGACCCCGTGTGATAACGTCCCAAGTTGTGGAACTCCCTTCCTGGGAGATGCAGTTGGCCCCCTCCCTGCTGCTTTTCTGCTGGCAGATAAAGACTTTTTTTAAAAAAATTAAGAGGACATTTGGTAGCAACAGAGTTTTAATGAAGGAGGGGTGTAATGTTTTGTTTTATTATGTTAAATGCCTTTTAAATGCTGTTTTAACTTGTATCTTTAAATCAGTGATTTTAATTGTTTTTAACTTTTGTATTAAACATTTTTTTAATTGTATTGCATTTTTTGGAGGCTGTATACTGCCTTGGGTTCTGCAGCATGAGAAAGTTGGCATAAAAATAAAATAAAATAAAATAAGGAAGCTGCTAAATAGGAAGCAGTTTGAATTGGATTTTGTCTCTAAGAAAGCATGTGTAGGTTCAGAATGCTTGGCTGAAATGATGTATGATCTAACTGAAATACTAAGGAGGATTTAGTTATAAATCTTATTTTCTTTCTTTTCTGATGCAGCCTTTATTCATTATTATATATACAATAATGATTAAATTTTGAAGCAGCATTATTTTATGACAGCAGACACATTCTTTTTACCTTAAGGGCTAAGTACAGTATGTTTTTCTTTGCATAGATTGTTTAAGATGAAAAGGAGAAATAAGCAACCTAATTTTTGCAGACTTTTTGAACTCAGGCTTCCTCCCACTCTCTTTTCTGGAGTGTCCTCACTACCACTAATGATCTGGTTTGTGGATGAATATACAGAGTTACTTTCACATAGCTAGATGCATATAGGATGCTTTGATCAGAAGGGTAATCTCACTCTTGAATTACAGTAGGAAGAGATCCTTTATCTCTGTGCTACCCTTTTAAAGAGAGATTTAAAAAACACAAACAAATTAGCAGCTCTTTCTAAAATCCTTTTTTCCCAGGTAAACATAATGACAATGCAAAGAAAGAGTGCTGATCCCCCAATATCTTTCTGAATATCCTCCCTCAAGAGGGGGACTACCCTGCAGTCTGAGGACCAGCTGATTTCACTCCCAATATCATCACAGGAATATTTACAGAAACTAGTTTTTCCTCCTGCCTTTTTCATTTGTGATAAGGCTGGGTATGACTCCCAGGTGCCATATACTTTTTATTTAGTAACGGACAAACCCACTGTTTCATACTTATTATGCAACTGGATGGACATTGATTAAAAATGGATTACAATGATGGAGGTAGAAGAGATTTAAAAAAACAAAACAAAGCAAAACTCTATGTCCAGATTTCCTGCTTGAGTAAACTAACTCAGTGCCAATAAATTTAATGAAGCCAGTGTGAATTACATAAGTTGATGACATGTACCCTAGAATCCAGGAAAAGAAAATGTTTTCTTTCTTTTTGAGAAAGGGATCAGGGGAGAGAAAACAGTAATTCTTTGTGACAGTTGTACCTCAGGCCACAAAATGCAGCCATACAAGGAAAAATGTTATGTTTTATGTTACTTTACTAGTACTACAAGACCTGCCAAGTTTCTTATGCAATTATTATAGTATATTTGTGATCTAGGTATTTTCCAAATTCTCTCCCCTTTACTAGATATTAGATAGCTAGTAGGAGGAGCACCTTATTTCTTTAGGGCTGCAGTCCTAGTCACATTTACTTGAGACTATGGGTCTCGGCAGACGACTAATAGAGTCGTCTCCAAGCCCAGGAAGGTCAGGGCAACCTCCGAGCCAGGGCAACCTCCTGCCGCAGCGACCTCATGCGCTGCGGCGGAAAAGACAGCGAAAGTGCGCCCTACGCGTTTAGGGCGCACTTTCGCTGTCTTGAGGAAGGAGCACTGATTTAGCGCTCTTTCCAGGGACGCCGCCGGTGCGCCGAGGTGTGGAGGCTGCGGCCCCGCGGCACGCCGGCCCAGGGCATCCTGGACGCCCTCGTCTGCTTCCCCCCTATGCCTCACTGAGAGTCTCCATGGCGTAGTGGTTTCAGTGTTGACTTTGATTCTGGAGGCCAGGGTTCAATTCCCAGCTCAGCTACTAAACCTACATTAAACCTTGAGAGTGAGAGTCACATGCTCTCAACCTCAAGGGAAGACAATGACAAACCTTGCCAAGAAAAGCCCATGATAGGTTTGCCTTAAGGTCGCATAAGTCAGAAACAACTTGAAGGCACATAACAACAAAAGCCCCACTGAGCTCAGACATAGTACTTAAACATGCACAGGGGCCTAAATACTCTAAAGACACCAGATCGCATCAGCTCTTGGAAGCTAAACATGGTCAGCCCTGGTTAGTACTGGATGGGAGACAGCCAAGGTTCTGTAGGCTACATTTCAGAGGAAGGCACTGGCAAAACCACCTCTGAGTATTCCTTGCCTAAGAAAACCCTATTAAATTTATGCAATTGTGATAATTCAACAGGTACATATTGAAAGCGCATACATACATGAACATGCACAGAATCAGTGGCATCACTAGAGGTGTAGTGGTGTGGCCTGCACAGGATGACACCCCAGAAAGAGGGCTTGACACCTGGTCAGGCCCTCCCCCTATGTTTCCCCACACCTTCCCTGTGTTTGCTCCCACCTCCCCACACTCCCGCATGCTCCCACACAGCCCTGCATGACTCCTGCATGTGCTCACACCCTTTTGCATCCCTCCTGCATGCACATGCACCTTCCCGTGTGCACTCTCACCCTCCCACACCCCTTCCATCTGTTCTCACACACGCCATGCTACCCCATGCATGCTCCCCACCATGGCACACCATCCCGGATGGCACAGGGAGTGTGGGCAGGGATGACATGGTAGGGTGGGAGCATATGTGGGGAAGCCCTGCCCCTGGAAGCACCCCCACACACACTGGCTGACACCTGGTGCAGGGACGCCACTGCGCAGGATCAGATTACATGTATGACTTACTCCCATTGAACTCAATATGCAAATACTACTGACTTCAATGTAATTTTTTTCTAGCGGAATCATGCTTGTGACTGGGGAAGAGAAGTATATTTCCATCAATTTAAACTTGCATTTTCTATCTATTTTACAAATAGATATCTGCAAGAATATTTTGAAGCTTCTGCTTCTTGGGAGAGCACACGGTAAAAAGTTCACCTTATTTCTAATTCTTTATTATTTCTATTGCTGCTGGTATACTGCCTATTTTTCCTGTCCTTAGTAAAGCAAATGCCACAACAAACCAATTATTATGCCAGGGTGTCACAACACTTTTGCTGTTATTATAGGCTAAGATTGGCCCGAAACAGACAAGCTGAATAGACCAGCATGAGGCTGTGCTGGCACCGTGCATGCTAGGACTGTGGCAGCCACATGCACCTGGTCCCAATCCAGGCTGCTGCCATGGTCCTGAACTGGGCCACTGGATTCTATATGCTCCTTCTTAGCCCGGTTCTTTCTGGATGACATGGGCTTGGCGCAGCTTCCGGCCATGTTCAGGGTGTGCATCATCTGAATGCTATGCCTAAACACGGCTGGAATCTATGTCATTTGGCCCATGTGTTTTGGGCCATAGTTACTTTTCTAGGAATTTGCATTCCTTTGGTTTTGTATCAGGATGCAAGGTGGTCTCCAATCAGTATGGTGCCAAAGCTAATATTGTTGTATTAGGATTGCCAGGTTTTCACTGTTATAAGGAATGTCCCTTATATGGGGTGGGGGG